TTTCGGAACAGTATCTAGTTCCTTCAATACCAATATGTTCTAGTATTATGAATTTTTTTTTCTCTGTGTTGGTGTTGTGTACTAAGGTGAATAATATGTTTGCGATGTTACTCTGAGTGCATATCCACACCGGGCGAGCTTGAAAAATATGCCCGGCCACGGTGGGATTCGAACCTACGACCTTTGGAATACTAGCCCAATGCTCTTCCAACTGAGCTACGCGGTCAGGACAGTTCGAGTAAGTGATATTTCGGAACAGTATCTAGTTCCTTCAATACCAATGTGTTCTAGTAATATGAATTTTTCTGTGGTGGTGTTGTGTACTCAGGTGAATAATATGTTTGCGATGTTACTCTGAGTGCATATCCACACCGGGCGAGCTTGAATAATATGCCCGGCACCGGTGGGATTCGAACCTACGACCTTTGGAATACTAGCCCAATGCTCTTCCAACTGAGCTACGCGGTCAGGACGGTTCGAGTAAGTGATATTTCGGAACAGTATCTAGTTCCTTCAATACCAATGTGTTCTTGTAATATGAATTTTTTTCTGTGTTGGTGTTGTGTACTCAGGTGAATAATATGTTTGCGATGTTACTCTGAGTGCATATCCACACCGGGCGAGCTTGAAAACTATGCCCGGCCACGGTGGGATTCGAACCTACGACCTTTGGAATACTAGCCCAATGCTCTTCCAACTGAGCTACGCGGTCAGGACGGTTCGAGTAAGTGATATTTCGGAACAGTATCTAGTTCCTTCAATACCAATGTGTTCTTGTAATATGATTTTTTTCTGTGCTGGTGTTGTGTACTCAGGTGAATAATATGTTTGTGATGTTACTCTGAGTGCATATCCATACCGGGCGAGCTTGAAAAATATGCCCGGCCACGGTGGGATTCGAACCTACGACCTCTGGAATACTAGCCCAATGCTCTTCCAACTGAGCTACGCGGTCAGGACGGTTGGAGTAAGTGATATTTCGGAACAGTATCTAGTTCCTTCAATACCAATGTGTTCTTGTAATATGAATTTTTTCTGTGCTGGTGTTGTGTGCTCAGGTGAATAATATGTTTGTGATGTTACTCTGAGTGCATATCCACACCGGGCGAGCTTGAAAAATATGCCCGGCCACGGTGGGATTCGAACCTACGACCTTTGGAATACTAGCCCAATGCTCTTCCAACTGAGCTACGCGGTCAAAACGGTTCGAGTAAGTAATATTTCAGAACAGAATCTAGTTCCTTCGATACCAATGTATTCTATTAATATGAATTTTTTCTGTGTTGGTGTAGTGTACTCAGGTGAATATGATATTTGTGGTGTTACTCTGAGTGTATATCCACACCGGGCAAGCTTAAAAAATATGCCCGGCCACGGTGGGATTCGAACCTACGACCTTTGGAATACTAGCCCAATGCTCTTCCGA